CTACGATATCATAGCTCAACCAATGGCCAAGATTCGGTGGCGGGGAGATAAGATACTGGTACCCAACCGGAACACCCGCATCAAGCGAAGCTAACTTGTCAGCCGAGGAATTCCCTTCCCGAGTTTGACAGCTTTCAACTGTAATAACAACTACCACACGACACCTTTTTTTTTTTTCATAGAACTTTTTTGTGTGTGTGTCATAAGACTCATAACTCATAGTATGTTGCTATCCATTCAATTGTAATCTGTATTTTGGATTTTACGTAACATTACAAATATATAAATAACTTCAGTCATGGATTTTACGCAACATTACAAACATATGAATATATATATATATGATAACTTCAATCATGATTTAAGAATTAAAAATCTTGTTTCCATTTTCAAAATAAGATTATGTGAATCAGAAGTTTTTAATAGGCAGAATGAACTTTTTTTTTTTTTTTCCTAAAGTATTATTATTATTGAAGATTTACTGTATTTTCCTTGTCAAGAAAGAATAAATCTCTTCTCCCTTTTGGTGGAAACTGAAAAAAAAAAATGTGAATAGTCTGGATTTTGATTATATTTAATTTAATTATTTAAAATATCTCAATTTTAGGTATTAGTCATTTTATAAAAAGACGCATCCAGATACAAAAATATAAAATAGATGAGAACAATAATAATACAATTTACAAAATAGTAGAATACATTCTTGTATTATACCAGTGCTAATAAAATTATATACCTAAATTTTAAAATGAAAATAAGATACAATTTCTCTATAAGTTACAAATAATTCTTGGAAAAAAATATTACTACCTCCTATTTTTAATATATGTCGTTTTGAGAAGTTGCACACTAATTAAAAATATTTTTTTTGTCAATAATAACCTTATTTAATGAAGATAGAGATGAACATTTTGAGAAAAAAGTAAAGAGTGAATATGAAAAGACGTAATGCATTTATTGGCTAAATGAGGGTAATAATGGAAAAATATGTACAAAAGATCCAAAACGACATTTATTTGGCAAATAGTTGAAAAAGCTAGAATGACATTTTAAAAAAATAGGAGGGAGTATTATTTACATTTAAAAGGATACTCGTCATTTGTACGACTCACCCTCCTAGTTAAAGCACTTTCTCTAAATTATATAATATAATATATTTGGTAGTTACATATCTCTTTATATTAATTCAAAACGTGCTGAGCCTAAATGACAGGCTCACACGTTTTAGAATCATACGTGTCAAATTATTATGCTTCGTATTATGCTTTGAATATCATTTTGAGTTTTGCCAATCAAATATGCTAATTAGATTAGTTGGTGACAAGCTTATTAGATTAATTGTTTGCATCCACAACACTGATGGTTAAAAAGCTAAAAAAAAAAATAGCTTATTAGAAAGATGAGATTTACAAAAAAATATTTATATAATGAATACAATGTAACTATTATAATTATAATTTTTAATACTTACCAAATATTTATTTGATATAAAAATTTTACGGAGCCATCGAATGATTTTCTTATAAAGTCATCCATCACTTAATGTATTGAATCTATTGATACATGTCCAAATTGTATTTATTGGAGGACACGTATCAAGACACAATTGGTGAATAAATGTGAATGACTCCATAAGCCGAGCTATCCGATGACTCCTTAGGAAGACTGTCATTTGATAAACAGCCAATTGAAATTGTTAGTTAAAAATAACTAGGTAATTGTGGCTAATTTAGGCCCTATTTATGTTGAGGTACACCTAATTTTATGTGAAATTGAAAAGAAATAATAATAAAAAAAAAAAAGAGTAGAATCGAAGAAAAAATCATCAAACGCGTGCTGTCTTTTTTTGTTTGTCTTTTTATTTATATCTTCTCCTTAATTGCCATCTGCAAACAAACAGTCATATAAACCTGCACACACACACACACAATAAAACCCCATTCAAACCACCGCACGTTCTGCCCCAATCACCGCCTCCCCATCTTCTCCGCTTGCCCAAATCCCCATAATTCCTCATTCTCCTTGACGTCATCGCCGGTGACAAGAGCCATTTCCTC